AAGGAGACATACAATGGAGTCAGTATGGAGGAGTTTCTGGATGCACTAACAACATATATTCATCAATGGGCTGCTGACAATATGAGGTCAGTGAAACCTTACAAAATATATGTCACCACAACCCATGACATTGACTCTTGTCCCATGTTGGATCAAAGATGGAAGGATTGCAAGAGGTGTTAATTCAATTTGTAGTTGCGTGAACTTTGGTACATACCAACCATATGATTTTTTCTCCAGCATATATAGTTTTGGTTGGGCCAATCAGTCAGATCGTTTTGAATCCATCGACAAAAATGTACATGAAATCCATCATTTAATAGATGCACCGAGTGCCATGAAAACGTACATGAAATTCTTATCCCATGTTATGCGCATCATGACAATGCTACTCGAGTTTGATGCACGTACCTTATTAAGATATTAAAATCGTATGACTCATCAGCCTTGCCACGCACTTCATCAACAACTTTGCGTTTTGACCTCCATGCTTTGTGATACGTCAAGTTTATCCCAAATCGATTTTGCATGTCGGCAATGATATCACCCGAGTTATATGCGGTTATGTTGCTAGCGAATTTTGACTTGATAAAACTACTAACAAGGGTTGATGTCGTCTGTCTTTGGTTACTTGTACAGACATCCAAAGCACATATATGTTCAGTCCCAACGTCTCTGATCTTAAAAGTGTTTGACCAACCCATACGTGACGCTTTCACAAACCATGTACAATCGCTCGAGACACATTTGACATAATATTGTTTGGAGCATGACTTGTCAACCTTAAATTGATGTTGATTTATAGCATGCATGGTCAACATCGTCTGCAATGTTTCCTTATCCTTTAGTAAAAGACCAACAACAATACCAGAGTCAAAATTTTGCTCGACTGTCAACCCCATCTCAGATCTGCGATGGTTTACTTTTAGTATATTTTCGGTATATGCTGCTACTTCCACCATCTCTTCGGCAACGTTCCTCGTGAAAGACATGAAATTTATCGAGCCATCTGAGATATCAGGATATTGGTCAAGCTTCGGATAACTCAATGGAGCAATATTTGATTCACAATTCAAAGAACCTATATTTACTTCTTCCTCGAACAAATTTTCAGCAATACTCCTACATTTCACCACAACGCAAACTGGATATTTCGTGTAGTCAGATTCTTTGGACATCAAACAGACATAGAGGGTAAGGCTCCTATCGTCGTGTATGGACATTGGTGGACAACCCTCATTCAGCTTATATTTTAGCTCAATCATAAATGATTGAGGTATCAACCCGAAACTATCACACAATATACCATATAATTCGTCGAAGCTACATTCTTTTCGTACCAAAACACCAGAAAGTTGGTAATTAGCGTAATCATTCATGACCCATTCACCTCCATAATGTTTGAAAACCATCATGCTCGAATCTATCTAAAAAAAAAAAAAAA